TTATCGTTGTTGTTGGTTTTGAACACATCTGGGTTATATTTCACCCCAAACTTATTATTATTAATAATTTAATAATAATAATAATATTGTTAATATTTTATTGTTGGTTTTGAACACATCTGGGTTATATTTCACCCCAAAATTATTATTATTTTCTCAATTTCATGGCTTCACTTGTGACACTTCCGTCCCCCAAAACGCCACTTTCTCCCCTGATCCCTTCCAGGGCACTTTATTGTGTCTGTCATCATCGCTGCGATATTTCCAAAACAATTTATTATTATTATTATTATTTATTAACAAGAACAAGTTACCTGTATATAACAAACATTATACATGATATAAACAATTATACACTAGAGGGGCTGTATACTAATACAGATTTATATAAAAAATATTAAAGCGTTTATTTCCAAAACACAAATAACGCGGAGCTCCATCAGTCTCGTGACGCGTCAGTGACGCGCGCTGGGGAGGGAGCGGAGCTGCAGCGCTGCTGGAGAGGAGGAGGAAGCGAGGATGGCTGCGGAGGCACACCTCTGGAGGTAAAGCGCTCTCGCGGCTCTACGCGGCTCCGGATCGCACCGCACCGCGGCGCGGCGTTGATGTTCGGCGCGATGAACGCCCGCGTGCGGCGGCCAGGCGCGATCGACGCGGCGCGGTCCGCCTGCGGCGGATCTGAATGCGCTCTTTTGTTCAGTCCCGGAATGGCTGCTGCTTTAGTGTGTGTGTGTGTGTGTGTGTGTGTGGAAGGAATGGGGTTTCTTTTCTTTTTTTTACATATTCCGTAGGCTTGCGAAGAGAGAGAGAGATAGAAAGAGAGAGAGAGTGGGGGAATAAAAAGAAAGGTGCCGCGAAAGCCAAGTATGCGTGCGGAATGCGTCTGTACAGTAAACAAAAGAGTGATTTGTCCCAAAATGGTCATAGAGTCAGAGTCAACAAAGCTTTATTGGCACGATTGTTACCATTTACAATATTGCGAAAGCGCATACAATACTTATAGCACACAAATATTTATTTAAAAAAATAATACAAATAAATAAATAAGTGAAAGTGGATGCAGAAATGACGGAAAAGAAAGAGACATGGTAACCAAAAAAAAGTCAAATGAAAATAAATATACCTTTCTAAGTGTCAGTTCAACAGACAGTAGCGCACGACTGCTGCTGCGCGCTCACACTGGCGATATGCGATTCGCGAATGAGTCGTTCTTTTGAATCGGATCTTCTCAGTGAGTTGATAGAACCGGTTGGCGAAAACTATTTGTTTACGCAATGGCCTAAACGATTCATTCGCAGACTGAATAGGACCGAGTGGTTTTGAGTGCAAATACACACTGGAACACACTTGTTGTAAAAATGCAAGTGACCTTTTTTACTGAGCATATATTTAAACAATGTTATTTTCAATATTTTGCACTTGGAAATTAAAGTCTAAATATCTGTTCAGTCAGTAGTCTGTATGACACAGTTCAACAATTGTGTTGCTTCTAATTAGCAGTAGCACACATTTTACAAAAATACATACTACTCATCGATGCACTAATAATATGTGTAAAACTTTACATTTTACTTCCAAATTACAACCTATGTAATATCTAATTATTTTAACTTACAGCAGTACTTGGTGTGAACCCGAAAATTTGACTGAATAGTAAAATAGGTAATTTTGGGCAAAATATGCCCACATATAGCTTTATATGAACCTTGTAGTAGAGTATGCAGTATGGTGTGCTGGGATATCATGGACTAATTGAGGACACAATTTCTCAATGACTAAAAGTCGCGATAAAAACAGAAGTAGCGGCAGACGTGGAAGTGGTGGCAGATCAACGCAAGATTGCAGAGGTGGACTTTAAAGGGGTCATATGATGCGATTTCAAGTTTTCCTTTCTCTTTGGAGTGTTACAAGCTGATTGTGCATAGATAAGATCCCTGAAGTTGCAAAGACTATAGTCTCAAAACCAAAGAGATATTCTTTATCAAAGTTAAGACTCTGCCACACCCCCCTAAAATGGCTCGTTCTAACACGCCCCCACATATCTAGGTCACTATGTGGGAATATTTGCATAATGCACCCAAATGTTCATGCAAAGGAAAATAATGATCTTTAAAAAAGCATCATATGACCCCTTTAAAGATAGGGCAGGTGATTTTGGAGAGGCTAGTAATGCTTTGAAAGCATAAGATCCCACCCTCTCTGCAAATCACTCTCCAAAGCCACGCCTCCTCCAAAACACATGAGCGCGCACAGGCAGAGCATAGGCTAACCAGCGACACGATGAGAGACGGCATTGGTGGAGGACTGAATGCAAAGCTGTCAGATTACCTCGTCTCATTCACCAGTGAGAAAACATTATAGGACAAAGCATAGGGCTGCACGATTAATTGAATGTGATAGTCATGTGCATCTTGTCAATAAAGCCGGTTCTGTGATCAGTAGTAAATCTCCAGCATGTGCTTTCAGATGGAGCAGCATTTACTAAACAGAGCCGTAGTTCACTGACAAGCTGCGCAAAATCGTGTTCATTTTCGCACACGATTTATTCACACGATTATGAAATCGAAGATATCGTTCTGCGATAATGAAAGCTGTTTGCGTAGCTTCTCAGTGAACTGAGGCTCTATGTAGTAAATGCTGCTCCATCTGAAAGCACGTGAAAATACCACATTTAATATGTTATTACTCCAAACTCACTTCATAACGTCAGTCAGGAGTTTGAAATAAATCCTTCTGTGAGATGATGTGGCTTCTTACCCAGAATAAGACACGCAACATATTTCATATGATAAAGGCTATGTCGATTAGCATTGCATCATTATTAAAATTAAAATGATAATAATAATTATAATAAGAACTCAGATAAATCATATATTGTCGTAGTCCTGTGTTTATTAGTCACGCTGAATCAATGAAAAAAGTTAAATCTTCTGTTTATTCAGCTACCGCTATAGGGATTTCCTGGATTTCTTCTGCGGGGCGTATTTGGAGTTTCAGCGCGAGAGCACCCTCTGGCCTTTGGATGGAGATTTACTACTGCTCACAGAACCGTGCTTCACTGACAAGATGCGCATGACTATCGCAGCTTTTGCCTTATCGTGATTGCGATTTCATTTCGATTTATCGTGCAGCTCTAACAAGGCACATAATATTACAATAATAATGCCTTCCATTCTCACTCGGTCTGCAATAGCGTAATGGACCGCGCTGATGACGTATCATGTCTGCGTGAACAGGGTGTGCTGAGGTATGCAAATACTTAAGATTCTAAAGATTCTTCTGCTTGACTAGTAGTCGTTCATTTTAAGTGTTAAGTCGACTAATCGCACGTTTATTAATAAGCCATTTAAATCATAATAATGAGCCTTTAATTGCCTACATATCCTAATAAGCGCTCAAGGGCACGCATAAAGCTTGCTGCAGCACACCGGCAGAAGTAATGATTATGAATGTGTGAGGGAATGATAGGTGAGCATTTGACTGTCCTGCCGATGTACTGTATTACCACATAGAATGTCCGTCACGGACTACGTGACTTTGCCTGTGGATTTAAAAAAAAAAAATTCTGCCACTAAGCAGCTAAGAAAATTTTGGTCGATCAAACCTCTTCTCGTCGACTAACAGTTAGTCGACTATTAGGGGGATGCCCTAGCAAATACATAAGTTGACAGGCAGATAGGACAGCTCATTGTAGCCCTCGGACCGAGGAATATGATTGGATGAACATTGTATGGTTCTACGCCTTCCACAGAAAATATAAATACATTTAGACGACTTAACCTAGTGATTGCAATCGGGATGTGAAGAGACTTTCAAGCATGACAAAAATGTTTTTGAACCAAATCACCTACCCTGCCTTTAAGTGGACTAAATATTGATCTTCCCAAAACGCTATTTCGACAGAGGGGAAAACTGCGGAAAAATTGTGCTAAAGTTGTTCTGGTTGTGTTTCTAGCAACAAAACCAGACCTGGCAACCCTGATGTCACCATTGTTAATAGTAAGATCTATAATATGCATTTAGAAAATAAATATGATTTCATTTCTTTAGGTGCGTCCCAAATCATGTACTTATGCACTATTCTATGACATTTTGTAGTATAAATAGTGCGAGTAGTGTACACTGAAAATTCCAAAAAGAAAAAGTGCACTTTAAATACCCGGATAATGCACTTAAAACAAAGACTATAGAAATACAAAGACGGTTCACTCCTATACTTATGAATGGGAGAAACTGCAACGCGCAATATGGCGGAATAGTCCCGCCTTCTATATGAAAGAGCCAATCACTGATTGGTAAAGTCATTGCATCACTGCAGCGGCCTTTAGAAGCTCCAGTTTCCATAGAAACCTGATGCTAGACCAGCCGATGCGCAGTCATAAGCGCGTTATAACTGCGCATGCGCATTGATTGGTCTAGCCGAAAAAATAAGCTTTTTTAATGCTATTTGAGCATAAGAAACAACATTCATGGGGCAGCTCATTACAGATTTTGTTGCTGATTTGTGTGTAATTTAATCGTGACTTCAGCGAGGATTCATTCAGGACTTGGTCTTGTTTGAGCTGCCCAGAGGCATTGCAAATATGGCCGCCGAGTGAACAGACTTTCCTTGAAAGGGACTTTGACTTAAATAACTGAAAAAACGAAGTGTGGAATGCTGGACACTTCATGCACTCAACTGTCACAACTTTAATTACGTAGCGAAGGGGGATGGGCTATGAGACTCTATTATAAATGACAAAAATAACCTTATATAATTCCTCCACTACATAGTTGAGTACATAGTGCATAAGTACATAGTGTATAGTGTGTCATAAGTACATAGTGCATAAGTACATAATGTATAAGTTCATAGTGTATAGTGTGTCAATTGGGACGCAGCTATGCCTTGCTGATTCTGACTCTTTGAACCGATTTTTTAAAACGAAACGTTCGAAAGAACCGATTCGCGCGAACGAGTCGGGCTTTCCATCACTAACGCACGCACGCACGCACGCGCTGCGGATTGAGCTGCTCTTCCCGCTTCGAGCTCGAGCTGCTTCGAGCGCCGTTTGGCGGATGACAGTTTATTTTCACAGAGGGCCTGTCTGAGCAGAAGAACGAACATTTACATCCTCAGCTACGGGAACCGAAGCGCTTTTCGTCAAGATGAGACTGCTTATTCCCAAATGTACGCGTTTGGTGAGAAGTGTGAGGTGACATTTGTGTTGTGTGCTGTTTTTTTGCGTAAACTTGCGCAGGGCTAATGATGCTAGCCTGTTAGCCGCAGCTGAAGGGTGGCTAATGCTAGCAGAGAGATTTCCTTAGCCAGCTTTCAAGCTGTCCGTATGTGCCGTCAAATATCACGACACGGCGAATGCGCTCAGAGTATTTTCGTTATTGTTTTCTTTGTCATTAATGTCGACTTACATTATATTGGTGACTAGTTGTGTGGGTTTCTGTGGTTTAATAGCTATATATGTATGTATACACACACATACACACACACACACACACACACACACACACACATACATATCAGAGAATACAGATTTTGTATTGCTTACCATATTTAAACGTTTTATTATACTTGTAAATGTGCTTTAGGTTAATAATCTGGTCTGTTTGTAAACGAAACTAACGCTAGACATTTGCAGCTTTTGCTGACTCGTTGATGTGTAAGAGATATATTTAGGCCCTCAATCTACATCCAAAAATGTTCACAAGAAGTTATATGTCTTAAAGCTTTGTTGTTGTTGTTGTTATGGCTTTATTGATAAGGTGTCAGTGTGCTGCCAGTTTCTCAGAAAAACTAGCATTGCATAGCAAGGCACATATAATTTTAAATCTGCTTCAGAGTGAAGAATAGTTTTTCATTTGAAGAGATTGTCAATAAAATTTCTCTGTTCTCATTCGACTTTATGCTTGTGTGTGTAGAAGTGCTTCTGTTACCTATTTAGAAAGCATTCTGTGGGTTTCTTAGCCTTGTTTTAAAGCCAACATCCTAGTCGAGCTGAGTAATGGTCATAGTTAGCAAAACCGTGAACTTTCAGGTGTTAAAGTAGACCTTATGCAACATCCCAGTATTGCACACATCCATGCAATGTTAAAAAAAGAGTCGTTTGCTTTTGTCTTGATGGGATTCGTGTGCATTTGGGGATCTGTTTCATAAATATCAGATGCATCATCTCTGCAAGCTGATGTAAGTGTGTTCGAAGCGTGGTAAGAAAGATGTATTTTTTCCTGCAGTCGGATGTAAGATTAGGAGAAAGTTGTGCAGGATGACCCCTGCCTTACAGTGCTGTTCAACATTCTTCGCCCACCACACACATCCAGAATCGCTTCGGTTTTCTGCATATTAAGTATCCTGTTTTATTTCCTGTACTTTGGATGTTTCATTGGAGATGCACTGCCTAATATCTGATAATTATATTATGGCTGATGATGATCAATATTATAGGCTTGGTTTGTCTTTTGTGTAGGCAGCACCAATCTAGACATGTACTTTTACAGAATGATGGATTGTGGTTTGGTACTTTTGTAATTGAACTGTTCTGATTCCACTTAACAGTTCTTTTAGTGCTTTTTATAAAGAAATCTTTGGGAAAACAAATCTAGTATTTACAGCCTTCTCAGTCAGTTGTCAAATGATGAGATGATTTTGGCACACAGATTTATAACAGAACCGTTGTAATATTTCAGAAATAAATTTTGAGCATAGTCATACAATTGTAACCGTAACCTCAATTTTTGATTTTTGAAAAGAGGAGCAAGTCAAATGTATTTTTTTGTGGTAATCAACATTATGCCACAAAGGCATTGTACTGTAACTAGGGGTGGAACGGTTTGCGGGAAAAAATCGAACCGTACGGTTCTCCATGTAACCCCTCTCTCCCGGGTCCTCACCACCACACCTCGTTCTTGTTCCGAGTGGGTCTCCGGCATGGGAGGCGGACGCACTAACAAGGAGGCTAAAGACTGCAGCCTCTAGCGTCAGTCGCTAGTGCGTCTCTTGAGATCAAGGTAGTGAGGTTTACCTGCACAGCACTTACTCGCTGGCCTCCGTTACGCTCACCCCCCTAATCCTCACTCCCATCCGGGTCACGGCACCAATGTAACCCCTCTCTCCCGGGTCCTCACTGCCACACCTCGTTCTCGTACCGAGTGGGTCTCGAACCCGGGTCTCCGGCATGGGAGGCGGACGCACTAACAAGGAGGCTAAAGACTGCAGCCTCTAGCGAGGGAGTGAGGTTTACCTGCACAGCACTTACTCGCTGGCCTCCGTTACATCCACACATGGTTCGGCACGCGCTAGGACCACGGTTCAACTTAAATCTGACAACGCACAGGTGAGACCTGAACAGCACACGTTGATATCTGTGTTTAAGCTAAACTCATTTAAGCTTTGCCAGTTTAAACATTTAAGAGCCAGAGGACACGAGCTCGCGCGCGCAGTGAGAAGATTTGTGCGTGCGCTCATTCGAAGCGCGCAAACCTGCGCCTCAGAACACACGCAAATATTAAGCTCTCTGTGAAGTATTGTGTTTAAATGGACAAATTCACACAAAATTATGTCAAAATGCCCGTCTTGGTAAGTATCCTATAGCAGATATAGCCGGCTGAACATACTGTATCAGTGCACTGGATCAGTGCATTCTCTTACAGTGACAGCACTATTAATCAAACAGCAACAACAAAGAATTCACTCATACAGTGAAATATGCAAAGCTGTTTTACATTTCATTACTTTATTCAATTTCTGTACCTAAAAACTAATGTTGACCTGAAAATCACTGTTTATTTTATTTGTATCTTTACTCTATTGTATTTATTTGTGCTGTTGCTTGTAGTTAGATAGATTATTTGTACTTTCTTTATTTTTATTTGACAGTATAGTTTTTCCCTAAACATAGCACATACTGAACCATACCAAAACCGTGACTCTAAAACCGTGATACAAACCGAACAGTGAGTAAGTTGAACCGATCCACCCCTAACTGTAACCAGATTATTTCTTTAAGTACGTTGTCCTTAAGTTGGCATGGAGTGAAAATTCGCCATCTATTTTAAGTGTATATTATAGATCTAATTGTGAGTCATGCATGCATTTTTTAAGTTTTCCGGTGAAAATGTTAGACTTCTTTCTGGTGATGTATGCAGGATTTGTCTAATCATTTAGCCTAGTCCATTTAAACTCCGCCTTCTGCAAGCACATGTTCACAGGCAGGCCCGGCGCCAGAGGGGGGGCCCCACGGACATCCCTGTGCCCCCCCTTCGGATGGAGGGAGATGGTCGGACTCGAGTTTAGCGTGTATTATAGTCTTACTCATACAACTGCCTGCTGTTGCTTCTGATGGCTTTTAGATGCTCACCACTGCAGTGACCGTTTTATGTCCAGTGCTGCGTTCTATCATGCTCGTAACTTCTTTCTAACAAAGACATTTAAAAAAAGTTTCATCGTGTTCATTGTTTTATTTTTTGTTTGTTTGTTTGTTTGTTTTTTTACTTTGTGAGATCGTGATGAATGAGTGACAGTTTTTAATACATTTAAAGGGAGCACTCTTTGCATGCTGTATACGATAATATATTCAGAATTTAAATAAAACTTGTGTTTTTCATGCTTGACAAGCG